GGAAGATCTGACACCACGGGAATCTGGGAAATTAAAAAAAAATTGGTAAGTGTTTTACGGCACTCGCAACTGCAAAAAGTCATATGAGCGCGCGGGACACACTGAATATTTTCAGTTGGTAGAAAATTTTGATTTTTGCCCTGGTGGCGTCCGAAGCCTACTCTCATCGATTTTGGACCATCAAGGGATCTTTAACGTGCGCAACTTGCATACGGGACCTCCGTGATTTTTCGCTCTTGTCCGAGAAGGCTATGTGCAGATATTTCCTACCAGAAGATCAGGGGTGTGGCTGAAAGACAGCAGTAAGAAGGAGCCAAGGAGAAGTAGTAGAAAGGCTGCAGAAAGAGTCAGGCGCCCAGAGCAGGGGGCAAAGGGGTGAATGAGAGGGGACAGAAACTGGAGACGACAGAAGACGACAGATCATAGTTAGAGAGCAGGAAAGGATGTGAAAGAAGAATTATTTCCGTCGCTATCCGGATTCAAGCCCGGGACCTATTGAATAAGAGGCGAACACCTTAATCTCTAGACCACGAGAGCCCCCTATATGGGAATGTCTGACAACAATGAGTACTACGAGAGTACAGCAATGTCAAAAACAACGACAACATTGACGACGACAACAAGAGCAATGTCAACCATGACGACGACGAAGGTATGATAAAGGGGTGACGACAACAGCAACAGAAAAGATGATGGAAACAGCTGCAGTTGGAGCAGCAGCAGCAGCAGCAGCAGCAGTAACAACAACAACAACAACAACAACAACAACAACAAAAACAACAACAACAACAACAACTACACCCACAACTACAACAATAAAAACACTTCCACCACCACCACTACCACAACCACCACCACCTTCAACAACAACAATAACAACAACAAAAACGACATCAACAACAATAACAACACTTTGTAGGACCTTCATGGCTCGCAGGTGTTCCTTTGGGCCCACTCCCGATAACATAAGGATCTGAGGAGAGTTGATGGCCCCTGCGCTCAGAATGACCTCTCTCTCGACCTTAGCTCGCCAGACCTTTGTGTGGGAGTCTTTTCCTCGGCTATATTGTACACCGACAGCTCTATCTTGCTTGAAAACAACCTGAAACATATAATAATAATAATAATATATTAATAATAATAATAAAAATAGTAGCAAATTGCCGTTCAACAGCAAGCTTTATACACTTTACAATCTATATTATTACCCCAGCAGACCTGACAGTATTTTGAAACAATCTCAACTTCCTGGGAAGCATACGGTGGAAGCTGCCATTTTATACGTGTTATAACACTAACATACTGGAAAATCTATCGCTGTCTATGGCCAGTTACCCATTTACAGCTGGGTGAAGTGAGGAAAATTCGAGAAAAGTGCCTTTCCCAAGGACACAACGTAGGGCTTGGCACTTGAACCCCCGAACCCACAACCTTACGATTGCGAGTGCGGTAGCTTAAACGCAAGATTGATATTGTAAGCATTGCAAAGAGTGTAAAACCAGATACATGTATCTCTATTCCTCTCTCTCTCTCTCTCTCTCTCTCTCTCTCTCTCT